TTTTTTAATTCTTTCAAGAATACTTCTCCATCTTAAAATAAATTTTACAACTAGTGCTCTAAAGTGTTTCATACAGAAATATCAAGCAAGTGAAGGATGAATTTTGAAGAGGAATGATTTACTTAAAACATAATTGTTTTCTATTTAAAATTTCAGCTATTTTTAAAGTAGGGATTTTTGATGGTGCTAACTGAACCATATTCAAGAGTAGTAGTTCAAAAGACAACATCTGCAGATGATGAAATAAATGCAAACATTTGTAATACAACTCCTGGCAAGTATTACAAAAATTAATTCTAGATTCCCTGTTCTATTTCTTATAAAATTAGGCATATCAGATTCTGATAGCAAAATAGCAACCAAGCTTTAGTCACATTTTTAAGGCAACAGTGAAAGATGTAAAAATAAAACAAGACAGCCTATGACATTGTTAGAATATTGATCTCTTACTTGAGAGAAAGATTTTACTTTGGTCAGTAAGCCAAGATCAATCATAGCAATTTTCTATGATTGATGCCACCCAACTCTAACGTCCTATCTCACTAAGTATTCAAATTGGTGCCAACTGACTGCCTGACCAATATTCTTTGGAATTCTTTTCGATTTATTCCAAGTTTATTGATTCTCTTACTTCCAGAAATAGAACAATTGTCGAGTAGAAGAAAGAGATGCAAAGAACAGAGTCTGAAAACTGACAGGAACACAATTATTCAGCACAAGTTGAAAAATAGGTACATGAAAATGGTCCAACATATAAATTGATAAATGGCCATTATTTTATGGTGCATCAATTTCTATTTCATGGTCATGTAAGGTTTCAATTGATCTTTTTTTTTATTCAAATATTACAAACAGTACTATTCTATGCCTTAAGTGCTGATTATTGACAATCTCTTCCTATTCTTTCATTAATAATGCATCTCAATAGCATAATTATTACGAATGCATTTACAATATACAAAGGAGTGCTGAAAAGTTCTCAGCCTGACTCACTTTGCAAAATTTGAATTATTTTGTCACTATAGCTGGAAAGAGTGTTCTTGTACATTGTAAGATACCAATTTGCAGGATCTTTGTGCTTATATTATTAACTTGTTTCAGATCATTGACTGTCAATGAAAATGTGGAATTTCCAAGTGTTGAACTTTGAACTGTTGTAAAATTCCTGTTCCTGCAGAATAATACTTCAAAGGAATTCCATGATTACATGATGCAAATACTGTCCAACAGGTGCTGTGAAGTGGTGATGTGCCAAGTTGGCAGCATGGAAGTTATGAGACTCAAAATACAGCACCAGGAAAAACTCCTGAAATTGTTGATCATATTAATGACCTAATATTGGCCGACTGGCAAAGCTCAAATAAAATGAATTGTTGAGAGATATCTAGGGAATACATTGAATTTATAATTCATAAGAAGTTGATTATGAAGAAGGAGTCAACCAGGCACCAAAATGTTGACCAGAAACAATATTGAGCAAATATCAAAATTGATTTTTGCTGTATTTTCAATAATCCAGTCATTATTTTTTGGAACAAATTTTCACTGTTGAGCTGGAGGCTAAACAACAGTCCATGCAATGACACTCTGGTTCTCTGTAATAGAAAAAAAATTCAAAACCCCAAAGTTTTCAGAAAAGGTCATAATCAAGTTTGTGCTTTTTTGTTTTTTTTTTTTAATAAGAAAGGTATTTTGATGACTAATTATCTTGAAATTAGTGAGATGCTGTACTGACTAAAGGTGTCAGGAAAAGAAAAACTATGCAGAAAAGTGTTCTCTTTTTGCAGAATACATCTGCTCACAGGGTTGATTAGACAATAGATGTGCCAAGCCTTAAAAAGAGCTTGAGACTGAGGAAATTTTTTGAATGATTCATAGATGAAGCAGAAGAGCAGTATTTCAATGACAAAACATAAGCATTATCTTTAGAAGGGTTGAATAAATATGAAAAGAAAAATATGGTGATGAATATATAGAATAACTCCTGTGTGGACCTGTACAGCTATAACAGATACTGCATCACCATTAGCAGCAGAGGCTTAACTCTTTGGGCACAGATCCAAAGTCTCTTGATACTGACGGATGCCACATAAAGTCTATTTCATGGCTGAGTAATTTTTAACATATAATTGGAATGGCTCTATTTTCTCAATAACTTTATATAACTTAATACTTTTTTCACTGACATTGCAATGCATCTTCAGAAAAATCATTAGCAATTCATTTATGTTATACATAATAATCGTTCTATTCTGAAATTAATGATTACTTTATTCCTGACTACGAGTTAACTTCACGGATGCTTGTAAGATTTCACTTATACTGAGCAAAAGACAACACTGGGAACTTTTGCATCAATCAAATATATGTTCATTTCATTATATACTACATACGTTGATTAGAGTCCACTTTAAATATAAATCTTTTCAATATAAGAATATGTTTAATCTTAATTGCAGTAGAATTTTTCATCATTTGCAATTGGACTATAGAATTGCAATGATAGAAATTCCTGTTATCTACAGTTAATGAATAAATTCCACAAATAGTTCACTTTGAGCTCAAACGGGGAAAATAATATTACATAATGTTAAAGCATTAACAGTGTTAAGTTATTCTCTGGATAGAATCAATCAAATTTATATTTTGGTGGGAAATTAATATTATAATAAAAACTATATAGCAAGAAGTAATTGTCTCTCAATATCACAAAATATATACACAGTAAGCTTACCTATTATTCAACAATATAGGTTTGTTTAAACCATTTTCCTGCTATGGCTAATATATCATAATTGTATTAATTTGAGATTATAGTTTCATAACTTCTATTGTACTGATGGTGATAAAATCTTTCAAGTTTCTTATAAAATAGACATTTTATCAAATAAAGAAAATGTAGAAAGTCATGATATTAATTTACTTTATTTTCATATTTCTTTGATTAATTTAATCAATAAAGATGAATTTTCAAGCTTATATGAAATATGCATGCATTCAGTTATCTAACACACACAAGCTTCATTGATTTCCAAAAAATACTTTACAATAATTCACATATATAAAAGTATATAAGCATATAAGTACATAACATATTTCACAAAGACTACACACTGATTCTAGACAAATAGTGTATATGCAAATTATCCTGTACTAATTTTAAAAACTATCTTATGTTAATCGTAAAATAAAAGTTGTATGATTTGATTTTTTTTCCGTGTGCTCAAACTTTAAAAATAAAAACAAAACTGTATCAAACTCATAAGTTCTGAAATTTGTTCATAAATTGAACACTGAACATGTCTATACATGTAAGATAATTTATATTGAAAAATGTGGTGTCAAAAGAGAAGGTCAACAAAATGCAATGGTTCACTGGTAATACTGAAGATGTATCTTTCATCAATTCAAATCGTACTAATACTGTTTCTTTTTAACTAAGACTGTCTTCAATTCAGTTCTGTAAAGTATAGGATGTTATGTACCAACTATGTAATTCTATATTTTTAAAACTTATAAAAAGACATTGTACTGTAAACTTGGTTATAATTAATCAATGTGTGTGTGTATATATATATATATATATATATATACACACACACACACACAACTTTATACTAAAAACATTCTACCAATGAGCATATCCCAAGAAAATAATGAAATACAATATCATACATAAATGATTTCTCCCACAACTACTTTTGTGTAATGAAAGATTTCTTCTAATTAAAACACATCATGATTTTATTATTTCTAGTGGAATGCTGCACAATAAAAATGGATAACTGTTGATATCAAACACTTTGCATTCTTTGTGCTGCTATGACAATGCCAAACTTGTTGCATAGAATCAGACAGGTTGTTACTCGTTTCATCTGACCACAAAACATGGAATTATTAATAATTAATATTTATTCTTTGTGCCAACTTTAAACAGGCCTCTTTCTAGCAATTTCAGTTACCTACATGGTCATCAGTCATGTAAGCATGTTTTGTTCAGTGTACATTTGATTGAAATAGAAAAATTCCTAGCACACACTGACCTTATTAGCAACATCTACAGCTAATTTTTTCAGCTCTTAATCAATCTCCTTAGAGACTTTGGTGCCAGCTTGCATGGTGACAACTTCTGTCCATCTGACATTTCCACTTTTCTTGTGATATTTCATTTTGACAAGCCTTTTTGCTTTAATCTTTTGCCATTGTTCTATTTATGCAAAGAAATAACATGTTCCTTCAAACTAGAAGAAGGTTAATTCAAATATGGAACTCTTCAAATAATTAAGCAAATATACAACATAAATTGAGATTATAAGAAATATTTTAACATTGTATACTCTTGATATTTAAGTCCTCTGTTAGAAAAATGGTTTAAAATATACTTTCTATATAGAATGAAAAATTATTTTCATAGATTTGTACTCATTTTTGGATATCAACAGTAATATCTTTAGAAACAGATTTTCAATGTCATAGAGTTTACTCTTAATACCTGATTGTTGTTCAACTAGAAATAAAATCCTATAGATTCAAAGAAAATTAACTGTCTATAAATAAAAATGTGTTAGCGAATTTACTCAGACAATACTGTACTAAGATTTCAAGAGTAAAAATTAATATGAATAAAAGATCGGTGAAAAGCTGAACATTTTTTCTAATATTTTCTAAAAAAATTAATTTTAAAACTTTTTTGATCATTTCTAAGGAAACAGAAAAAAAAAAGAAAGCTCAATTGAATTGAAACAAATTTTCAGCAGCTGAAATTCTAACACTGTTAGTTTGAGCCAAAGGAAAAAATAACTAATTGTATCAAAAGTTTATTTAAATCTATTAGAAAATTTTAACAGTAAACACTCAATTACACTAATAACATTTTTCTTTCAAATATTTATATCCATACAAGAAATTTCATCTGAAATCCTCATGCTGTAATTTACTTAAATAGTTACATGCTATAAAGAACAAACTAAATACAATTTTTAAAATTTTGAATATCCAACCTCTTGATCCTTCAATGAGCTTTTTCCTAGCAGGAGCAGAGAAAGGATCATCTCTGAGCATGTCTGATGCCTCAAGGAGCAACACGGAGGCATCTTCCACACGATGGAGGGCTGGAGGCATATCCTGCTTGAGGATTTGATCCTCACTACTGTTGATTGTGTCATAGCCAACCTGCAAACAAAAAAGAGAAAACAAATCAAATAGAATGAAAACATGTGACTACACACACACAAAAATATATTTTTGTTTGGATAGCAACAGTACTCTACATTGTTGACTCACCACTCAGTTATATTTCTTGATGCCAATGGTTTCAGATTGTCAAACACATGTCAATTATCACCTCATTTTCCATGAGATGTTTTTGCTTTCTTTCATCATAAATCTTTATCTTGTTCTCACAATCCATCATTTGACAAAGATTATTTGTACAATCTAGATACAAGCTTAATTGATATAAATGTTATAGTGAAATGAATAATGGACATTATATGATGGCATAAAATACACCAACCCCAAAATATATCTATTAGATTTTATATATAAAATTTGAGGTCATCTGATTTTTGTTCAATGATTGTGCTTTGCCCAACACAAAAAGGCTGGGATATTAAATGTAAAAGTGGGTTAATATATGCCATCAAATACATTAGTTTCTTTTTTAAGTTCTTTAACTTTAAAGCTTAAAGACAGATAATATTTTAACTTACACAATAAAATACTTAGAGTTATAAATTTAAGCAACCATTTAATAATGAACATATTCTGAAGTACTCCTGTGAAAAGACAAAAACAAAACAATTTGTTCTTTTACAATAAATTTGCATTTATCTCCATAAAATTTACAAACAAGTATGGAGTCTCATAATGGTAGTTAAAAGAGGACTTGATAAAACAAAAGCCACATATGAATGGAAATTATTCTCTGTTGGTTAACATAAAAAGATAATTCAGTTTATTAAGCAAAAATGAATGACAAATTTCTTCTTTTCAGTATTAACTATATTTAACAACATGTCCATTTTATTCCATTTTTTTTGTTATTTTTAAGCAATTTCATAATTCCATCCTTTGATATTTTTTTTTTATATTTTGTTTTTCTTAGCAAAGAATAACTTGAGCTGATTTGCAGAATTCTGTGGAATTTTAATTATTTTTTCATTAAAATATTCTGTCAAGATCAGAATAAATGATATGATGGTTTAATTTTGAGTAAATATGGTGGATGAGAAAACTTCCTAGCCAAGCTTTAATAATTTTTGTTTCATCTATGCCAACCTTTCTATAGTCAATTAATTCTGGATACTTTTCATCAATTTTCCTACTTGGATGAAGAACTTGTTCAAATTGTTTGCTTTTCAAGAAGGAACTCACAGAGAACACCCTTCTAATACCACCATACATAGCATTACTTTGGATGAAAGCCAACCTTCTATACAGTTAATTGTAATTCAATTTGCTTGCCTAACAACCTCATGCTCCACATTATTGCAAAGTAACTACTTTTCACTGCTTTTCTATTATAATTTACTTTAAAGACATTTAAAGAGTCTGGCATGATTTTCCATTTTTGATTTGAGTATTTTGAACATGTTGACTATTTCTTGTGTTGAATAACATTGATTATTCTAAGGTAATGTCTATTTGTAACATCTTTGTCATGGTCAGCCAGGGGTGAACCCTGGTTTGATCAATGGAGCGATCTCTTTAACCCTGACCTGCTCTACCCCATGTTGCAATTGATTATAAGGAGGCCACAATCAATTTGTCACAGGTATCTTCATGTTAGGCTGGTCCAAGTCAAGCAAAGCCATACAGTAAAATTGGAGAAAAAAAAAAACAGCACTTGAAATATATAAAAAAACATTTACTATTTCTATAGTGAATACTGCATACAATGGCTTGTTAGTAGTTGCTAGGGTCTAGGTGTTAGCATACAGGAGTTTGCTGACCTAACCCATTGTTAAATTGGATGCAACATTTGGGTAAGCTGGTAAATTTTGGCTTGCGGAGTTAGCAAAATTTGTTTTACTGATTTGGTAAGTTTGGCTCATGGCTGATGTCGGAGGTTCTCGTGTTTGGCAGGAGTTGCAGAATCTCTTAGCAACCTCTGTCACTTCTGTCTTCTCAACTCCCAACTGTCCGAATTCACTTGCGCATTTCTATTAATGGACTCCAACTAGAAAACAGTGTGGGACATGATATAATTTGGATTTTGGTGAATCCCCCGATTCACAACAAGAGTCCATTGTTGTCTGCCAAAACAAAACTGGTGTAGGGGTGAGCTGTAGTTTTTTTTTGGGGGGCATTGGTATTTCATCCACCTGTCATTTCCATTGCTTTTGGTCCTGAGAAATTAAATTACTTCATAATTTTGGGGAATTCCCCTTCTCTCATGGGAGATGGGTGCAGGCATTGCTCCATCTGGGTACTTCTTTCTCTTATTACCATCTCCCACCAGTGCTCTCCAGTGGGCATGGGCAGCTCCTTCCTTGATTGCTCTTCTGCACCTGCCACTTCCACCATTCAGTCGAAGACTAAAAAAAAAATTTAATCACATAAGTGAATTGGCACAACAATTGGCTTTATCAGCTTTGATCCAAGAGACTTTCCCCAGGGAAAATTTTGCAACTCACATTATGGTGACAATTCATTTGGCCAAAGGTCATCATATCCGCAGGTGTTCAGCATATCGGTTTCAATCCTGACATTGCTGCAAAAAGATTTCATTTGTAACTGGTATTTAATTCAATTCCCCTCATGTCGATTTCACAGGAGTTGTTTGTCGAATACTGTCAACACTTGGCCCGTTGTTGCCGACAACATTGCTCTCATCTGGTCACCTGGTTCATTCTATAAACCTTGATTCTCTGGGAATCAATTGCCATCAGTCTATTATTCTTGATATTCATTTAATCCTTTCCATGGGAGTTCATTCATCAATATCTCATTTTCATTGATATTCCAAGTCTTTATTATTAATTACCAGCAACCAGAATAGTGTTACATATTTAGTTGACCAAGTAGTTCACCCAACCCTGAGTACCACAGTGGAGACTTGGTAGTGCAAAATTTTCTCTATAAATTGCAAAAAAAATTTTTTTAACCTTTCTTAAAATAAAAAAAATAAAGGCCCAATTTTTTTCCTTTCATCTTAGAATCAATAAGGAAATGTACACCATTTTTATTTAATACACCTGCTGTTACAACACAAGATTTTTTTAAATGAATTTGAAACTAGATATACCTAATGCTAAGAAGTGATAAAAAATGGCCAATCCATTTTTGATTTTTAAATTCCAACAGGAATTAAAATACAAGTAATTGCTATATATTTACTTGAAATACTTTGTGATAATTGCACTGCCATTTTCAAGTCAAAATTTTATCACTGACAAATCACAAAATAGATTATAAAAAGCAAATTTAAAAATGGGATATGTATGAAAAGAATGGTTCAGTGCTGTGAAAAAATGTTCTTGATCCTCCAATAGAGCCACCCATGGCTATCACTGCAGATCTTTTGATTGCCTGAGGAATTATTTTGTGGCATTATATCAGAGTTACATGAAGAGTGTAAATAAAATTTTCAAAAGTATCAAAGAATTTTATTTTAAGTAAATCATGAGAAGAAAACCAACAGAAAAGGAAGAAACCAAGTCTATTTGCATAGATGGTCACTCTTCTGAAGCTTTCTTGATAATTTTTTTTTTATTATTTTCTGTTATGTATTAAGGAATGCAGTTTTTAATATTCTTCAACACACCCTGAACCTTCATACCAGAAATGCAACTTTTCCTGACAAGATACAATAAAAACATCTGACAGACTCCAAGAATTGAAATGCTGCAATTATATTTTCATATGCTGAAACAACTAATTCTTGCTTCATAAAAAGGTATACACTAAAGCTCCCAGCACCTTTTTATTAAAGTTAGGGACTGTATACACAGTCATTTAATAAGCTGTAAATCTTCTAAACACTTAAATAAGTACTACTCATATCACAGATTATACTTATACAAGTAAATAAATAATAATCCAAATTGGTAAGTCTACATTTGGTGAAAATTGTACTTTAAATGTCTTTTTGTCTTACATCATATCAACTTTCTTAAAATTCAAGATTTTAAATCTAAAAAATTTAGGCAAATGTGAATTGACTTTATAAAGATAGAAAAGGTCAATTGTATTAAGTCTATTATAAAATAAAAACTGTCTGAAACATTTCTACGACATTAGGAATGGGAACTAAGCAAATTCATATCTGTGTGTCTAATTCAGTGAAAGTAACCATATTGTTACTATTTCTGAGTAGTACACTAAAATAGCAGAAAATAAATAAAATACTGACAGTCACATAAAAAAATGGCTATCAGGACAGATCCATTTCAATTATATAATTTTATAGCTACAAGGGTTACAAATTTCCAAGAATATCATCACTTTTCCAAGTTTGAAAAGGCATTATCCATGGAAAAAACTCCTAAGACATAAAACAAGAATTTAATCTCATTGGAAGCTACTTCTTTATTTCCATTCACACTACTCAAAAATCAAATCCGAGTAAATTGTGATAAAAATCAAAATCAAGAAGCAAAGAAAAACTTAAAAAATTACTTCATCTCAAAACTCCAGTAACTTAAGTGTATTATTATTCAGCAGTAAAAACAAAATATATTGTGAATGATTAGCAAAGAAACTTGATAATATAACTAAGTTTGTGCCCTATCTAATCATAAGGCTTCCATGGCTGAATTGGTTATGGCATTATGCAGGACAGACAAGCTTCTGGGATATGAGATACAAGTTCAAGTATTTTGTGAAATTATTTCTTTAATCTGATTTCATGCTACTTCAATGGTCAGATTGTATTTAATTATGATAAAAAGCAAAAAAAAGCAAAAAAAAAAAGAAATCTAGACCAGTTAAATTGATTATAATTTATCTCGGCCTTCAAATAAAGTTAGTTTTTATTTTTTTTTGTATTTTAACAAAGTATGCAATTTTCCCTCCCATTGATATACATTATACTGCTGTTTTCATACCTTCTCAAAGATGCAAAGTTGAGTGTATTTTAAAATTTGCGCTAGAGAATTGCAACATCCAACAACAACTGTTTTATTGAAATGTTCTAAAATCCCAAATGAAAAGTCCAAACACATATATATGATAAAAGAAAAGATAACCTTTTTACCAAATGTTTCTATTCTGTTTTGATTACAATTACTAAATATACACATTTTTACATTAAAATAACCTATTAAATTTGAAGAATTTTAGTTAAACTCCATCTCTTTTTTTATTTCAGCTGGATAAGAAACCTACTTAACCTCTCCAATTGCAAGACAACACATTTGAAGGTAACTTTCTTATTTTTGGAACATGTGTGTCAAATTCAGTGAAAGTAACCATATTGTTACTATTTCTGAGCAGTACATGGAAAATAAATAAAATACTGGCAGTCACATAAAAAATGGCTATCATGACAGATCCATTTCAATTCTATAATTGCAGCTGTCATGTACTAAACAAGAGGAAATAGAGATATATCTCCTACCTTTAATACAGCACCATAGAGAAAATGTTAAGGAACATTTACAGCAGCACTGGTGATTGGTGCCATGTGTAAAAATAAAAAAAAGTAAAGGTCATTTCAATAAACGCCTGCATCTATACCTTGATTGTGCTTTACCATCTGTAATGCAGAAATGATAAGCAGAGGGCACAATGTTGAAAGGAAACTACAGTATCTCCTGGAGAAGGCAGTAAAAGAAAGCAGTAAAAGAAAGCATGAAGAAAGGATTAACCATCAATTGTAATAAGAAAATGTATGCTTGTCAGCAAAAGGAACAGCTCAAGATACAAACTATGAATTGGGACACCAATAACAAGTATTAAAATTTAAATACCTAGGTAGGGGATAGAAAATCCAAAGGCGTATTAAAATAGCAAAAAGATGTCTTCTAAAAGCTAAGCCAATTAAGAAACAGAAAAATTTCATTAGGAATAAAGAAAAGACTACAAAACTTATGTAATATCGATCCTCCAATATGGCAGGATGTGTTGAATAATATCCACACAGATAAAGAAAAGACTTGAGGCAACAGATATGCCTGAGCAAGCATCTGCAACAATGACTGGCTTGCCACTCTAGTAAATAGGCATACTCAAATTTTAAGCATCATTTATCATTTGATCTGGAACTCAGGATAAAGTTCTTTAGAGTTATTTCTGCAGACCTAAAAGGATGGAATTAGCTCAGCATTCTTACATAAGCAATATCAAAATGCAACTATATATTTTCAATAAATAGAATCTGATGTTCAAGTAACATTAAATGACATTTACAAACAGCCAAAACTTTACTTGCACAGAGTTTTGTGTTAAAAACAAGTTTCAAAACTATTTTTTTTTATCTAAACAATTTTATAGTTTGGTGTTTTTAGTACTTAGCTGCTTATGAAGATATTTAATGTCAAAAGTAAATCATGCTTTGTAAATAGTCTAACATTTTGGTTAAAAAGAAACTCACTGTGTTTACTGATTAAAACTAACCAAAATGCTGATTATTTTTATTATAATAGAGCACAAAGGAGGAAAATTTAGCTTAAAAATACTTACCGAAAATACTTAAGAGCACTGAAATATCCGTCTATATTTCTGAGATGAGGTATTATAACTATTTACATTGTTGTCCTCATCTTTATTATCATATTCACAACATTTCAGCCGTTGTACCCTCCAGCATTCTTCAGGTGATATACATTGGAATTTCCAACCAAACCCTTTATTTTGTTAACATTTCTTGTTCTACATGCCATGCCTTTTCTGAATTTCTCAGTTTTAGTTATTTCCCTTTAGTCACTCAAGTTTCCAAGTCTTTGTTCAACTCTGCTGTGACCAGGTATTGAACTCACAACTCTGTATTAAGTCACTGGATTACTTCAAATAATGCTTTTATTCACTGGGCTATGTGTCCCCATGTCACCTAAAGAAGGCTGGAGCGTACAACATAAATATGACAAAGATGAGGACAACAGTCCAAACAATGTAAATAGTGTAAATAACACAAAAATAACTTCATTCTTAGATAATACTTTACTCATGTATCAGGTCATCCCATAAGTTCTGTCCAAATTTTGAATAAAGAAAACAAGTGACCAAATGTTACATTTAATTACAGATTCAATCAACAATGTATTTTCCCTGATTATCTATGACTTCCTTCCATCTATTAACAAGCTTACTAATTCCATTACTGTAAAATTCTTTTGGCTTTGATTCAAAGAACTCACAAATGTCAGTTTTAACCTCTTCCTGTGTTACAAAAGCCGTTTCTTCCAAATGATACTGTAAGATACGAAACAAATGGTAGTCTGAAGAAGCAAGACCGGGAGAATAAGGTGGATGAGGAATTTTCTCCCAACCAAGTTCTTCGATCTTCTGTGACGTGATTCTTGCTGTGTGGGGTCGTGCATTGTCCTGATGAATCATCACCCCTTTTCGATTCACTAGAGCAGATCTTTTTTTCCTCAAAGCTTGGTTCAAATGCTCTAATTGCTGACAGTATATTTGAGCATTAATTGTTGCATTAGGTTGTAAGAATTCAAAGTGGATTATTCCTTGGCGATCCCACCAGATTGAAAGAAGAACCTTTTGCCCATGAAGTTCCCTTCTCGGCTGTGGCTGGGGTCCTTCCCCTTTACCAAGCCACTGTCTACGATGCTTAACATTTCGATAAAAAGAACCATTTTTCGTCCCCAGTCACAAGTCTATCCAAAAAAAGTGAAACAAGTTGGCGAGAATGGAGAGAAGAGCAGATGTCAACTCGGGATTTGAGGTTGTTTTCAGACAATTCATGAGGCACCCATTTTCCAAGTTTAGGAACTTTTCCAAGTTGTTGAAGATGATGATGAACAGTTGTATGGTTTGAACTGAGAACCACTGCCAATTTCTCAACTGATAAAGCAGGATTTTCTTCAAGGGCTGCTTCAAGAAGCTTTTCATAAAACTCAACTGGACGTCCGGTTCAATTTTCATCTTCAAGGGCGAAATCTCTACCTCTGAATTTTGCAAACCATCTTCTGCAAGTTCTTTCATTCACACATTCCTCTCCATAAATTGAGTGAATGTTTCTAGCCGCTTTGACTGCTGAGTTTCCTTTTTTGAACTCATAAAGCATTAAGTGCCTCAAATGATTCTTGGGTACTTCCATGTTAGCAGGGTTTTAATCAAACAAAATTTAATTTTATTGTTCTCTGAAATAAAATTTGATCAGTTTAAATGCATCTAAACATAAAAATAATGTCCAGCTCCATTAGACATTATAAAATACTCTTTAAATTTCGTTCATTTTAACAAAAAGTTAAAATTCGGACAGAACTTATGCGATGACCTGATACATAACAGAATTTATTAAAATTAATAACTGAAAATTGAATCAACTTATTTTACTATCTTGATTAGTGAAGAACTGTCTAAAAAATAAAACAGGTTGCAGCAGTTTAGTTCGATATTTTAATATTACTGAATGATCATCAGCAAAATGGAATTGACTTAGTTGAAGGATAAACATGGAAGGTATTTTGTAGCAATTTTATGGTAGACTGACATCTACATAGAATATGCAGTACCAAATATTTATTTCATTGGCAACAATTGCTTCTACACTAAGTAACACAAAGAGTAAAATACTTTAAAATATAATCTAGATTTAACAAGTAAAAAAAAAAAAAAAAAAAAGACTCGTATTTCTAAAATTATTTATTATTGAATAAAAAATACAAAGAAATGAAATATGAAAAATGTTTTTGATTTTACCTTGACTAAGTTATCAACAGCAAGTTTGACAGCCTGTACAGGCCGTGCCAGATCTGGCATCGCATTACCATCTTCAGCTTCTTCATGAAGAATAACAAGCTTGGAAAC